TTTCTACTTTTTTTTCTTTCTAACAAAAATTTATAAATTTTATTATTTATATCTTTATGTATTTATTTTTTTTTTTTTTTTTTTTTTTAGCTTGTGTTCTGGTTATTTTAGATTTTGATTTAAATTAATTAGCACTCAGCATTCAGTCCAGTACCACAGAAAAAGATAATTTTCTAGTTCCCGTTTATTTATTCAATAAAAAAAAAAAAAAATAAAAAAAAATTATTAATCCCAGAGGGAAATTATATAATTTATAATTTTTTGTTAGAAAGAAACAAAAGTAGAAACTCGAGGGAACTTGTCCTGGTGTGAACGTGTGGTGACCACAGCACCACTGCCACTGTTATATGTTGTCATGAGACCAAGAAGTTGAAGTTTAGGTGTAAATATTGTACATAAAGTAACATTTCAAGTCTATTTTTGTTATGATCGCAGAGAAATGTGAATTTTCCTGGCAGGGCTGAGTCTATTCTCAGAGGTGACTGCAGCTCAGGGCAGCGTGATGACCTCATGGAGAAGTCTATTTCTGGAGTTCCATGGTCCACTGAGGACGATGATCATGATAGAGATGATGATGATGGTGTGTGAACACCTGAGGCTTTCCATCCGTGTGAAAGAGGACAAGCAGTGCGGACAAAGACATCTGAAGGTGTCGAAGGCTTCAGGCCTGGGTTGTTCTGGAAACAAACTGGTCAACTATTGCTGCTATCACCCAGACCAAAGACCTGGAACCATCTCCATTGATCCTATTTATCTTCTGCTTCTCATCCTTTATTTCTCAACGTGCCATGATGCTCTGACAGCAGGATAGCAATCAGAAAATCAATTTCTGCTTACAAAGTCAGAATGCTAAATTATCTGGCAGGTCACTTAATTTGATCTTTAAGAGAATAAGACATCAACAAATCATCCTTGAAAGAGTCACATGACCACAATGACTACGATTTGAGTTACAAAACAGTTGCATGAAAATTTACAGAAAAGGTGCTTTAATTAAAACAATTCACTTCATGCTAGTTTTGATTTCTTGCACAATGAAAATATGAAAATGTCTACTTTACCATGAGAAAGTCCGTGAGCTCACTGTTCAAGAGCTGCTTCAGTTCACCTTTGTTCAGCTTGTGTTTGTCACCTTCATTTCCAGAGTAGTTGTAGAAAACTGTTATCAGTGCACCCATAGCACCCTCGAGTTGGCTCGGCATCCTGATGAAAGGATAGAAACAACCACAGGTTCCTAAAGCAAAAACGGAAAACAAAAATTATGTACCAACGTCATCACCTTTAAACCATTATTCAGATAAAAGGAAGAAATGATTTGTTGGTAAACTGGTCTTCTAACCTTGTTAGAATTATGCACAAATGTTGCAGCGCAGCTGGTTTGTTAGGAAATGGGGAGAGGCAAAGCAGACAATCCCCTATTCATGTGGAGATAATTAATTCCACAGGTGAGGAGCCCTTGGTAACTGTCATCCTTTCCGGATTTTAATCAGAGCGCTTAAGTGAAAAACAAAACATACACTGGCGCAATCCTGACGCCCTCAAGGGGATTCATTAAGGCCTGAGCCATGTGTGGGTCTGTCTTCACATACGTGTCTGCATCATCTACCACATCCCTGAAGTGAAGGAAGAGTAACAGTTCATCAGCGGAGGACAGCTTGATGCCTGCGGCGTGCTGTGAAGTATTAATCTGAGATGAAGAGCTCCATCAGGAATGATACACTGGCTTCTACACGCTCCATCATTAAAAGCTTTCCTTGAGGGAATTACCTTTCCATCACCTCCTTTCAGTCCAGAGTTTTAGACTAAGATCATCTGATGTGTAGAAGCGAGCCTTTTAAATCAAACCTTGATAATGACATTGTGCACAATCTCATGTGATCAAGCAAGACCTGTTAGCACTCAGAGAATGTGTTGAGGGTTCTTACAGACACAACCTCACCAAACTTTAACTCTATTGTTGTCAAACTGATGGAGTTATAGACATTTTAGTGTTTCCTAAGGTCAGTTGGCAGTGGCAGGCTTCTTGAACTGGGCTGACTCCCACATTTAATCAGTTGCAGATGTACACAAAAACAGGTCTGAGTTTCAATCAGATCTGTCCAGTAGATCATGTATGAAGATAAATGAGTCTCAGAAATAGTCACACAAGAGAACAATAAGATTTGTATGTGTATGTTAAGATCCACAAGCTTACCACAAGTTTTACAAATGCGTGCACACGGATCAACTTGTCCGTGAATGTGACTTTTCAGACTTTCTTACCACCTCAGAGTCACAAAGATAATGCTGCGTTCAAGGCTGGTGAAAAGCTGGGACATATGAGCCTTACCAGATTTTACGAGTTACAGGGAAAAGACAAATTTCTAACTTGGCACATTAGCTCATAACCCTTAAAATATGTACTACTACTTCTTGTTCTTCTTCTTCTCCTCCTCCTCCTTTTCTTTTTGTTCTTGTTCTTATTCTTGTTCACGAATCTGGGACAATGAGCCTGAGGTGGTTGGTGGTGACGACCGGATCAGACTTCTCCAACGTCTAAGAGGTGGTTTCATGCTTGGGGTCCGGTCTGCCAGACTGGTGCAGCACTTCCTGGACCTGGTGAAGGAGAGGATGACAGCTGGAGAAAAGCATCTCCTGCAGCTGTGGTCCACGGGGAATCGCCCGCCTGATCCAAAGGACACTTTCCCGGACATTAACCTGGATCCTAACTTTGTGAAAGAGTGGTCCTCTGCTACACAACATAGACCCAAAGATAGACTTGTGCAGAACGGGTCCAAAAGTACTATGTTATGTTAGGATCCTGAACAAGAGAACTCTGCACAACAGAGCTGTCAGCATGTGGGACGACAAGCTCAGAGGTCAGAAGCCCCAGTGGAGGACTCTTTACAAACCTCCAACAAAAAAACGGACTGGCGACCTTCAATGGAGGATCCTTCATGGCGCAATTACAACTCTTTTTTGTCGGTCATCAATCCTGAGGTTTTAAACGAGTGTCCTTTTTGCAGTTTGCCTGAGTGTTTTTCATGTTTTTACAGACTGTGTACGGCTGACGGCTCTGTTTAATCTTATGCCGAGGATCTTTAGCCTTTTTGACACAGTTTTCACCAAATCTTTTTTTATTAATTGAGAACATTACAGCAAAGCTGCTAAGTTTAAATCCCAAACTTTAAACTTTTTAGTGGCCGAAGCAAAAATGTCTGTTTTCTTGTCTCGCAGGGGCAGACTGCAGGCTGGACCCCAACTTGATGCCGTAGCTCTGTGGAAGTGCAACGTCAAGACCAGACTGGTGTTGGAGTTCTGCTTCCACAGAGACACTGGACACTTGGAGAACTTTGTGAGACTGTGGGGATTTAAGAAGGTTTTATGCACCATTTCTGATCAGGGAGAACTACAATACAACAAGCTCCTCGTGTAAATATTTTATTTTAACCTTGCCCTGATCACATTTTCTTAACACTGTTGTGTTAGCTTATTGTGTAAATGAAGTTTTATTAAAAAGCAAAATTATTTTTCTTGTTCTTGTTCTCATTCTTTGTCTTGTTCTTAATATTTTTCTTGTTCTTCTGTTTTTGTACTTTATTGATCTTGTTCTTCTTTATCTTCTACTACTACTTCTTCTTCCTCTTCCTCTTCTAAAGAAGGTTTTGTTTTCAAACCTGCCTGCTACCTTCTGCTTGCACCTCAGTGTCCATCACCAAACCACTTGCTTTAAACTTCTCAACGACTTGATTTCTGACACTGACCTTGGTCTTCATGATGCTGTTTGATCATTACTGTTTAGTATCAGAGCTGCTGTGTTTATCCTGAGATTAAATCACACACATAAGGGGCAGCTGTGGCTGAGTGGTTAGAGCAGTCATCCTCGCGTTGGGGGAATCGATTCCACAAGCAGTCACATGTTGAAGTGTCTTTGAGCAAGACACTGAACCCCTCATTGCCTCCGATGTGTGTCCCATGTATGAATGTGTGTGTGGAGGTAAATGAGGGAACAGGTTGTGTTGTAAATTGCTTTGAGTATCTTGATTAGAGAGACAGTTGGTTGTTCTGGATATAATTGCAGGGTATCAGAGCAAAGGGACTTTATACAAATTACCACAATGACTAACAGGAAAAAAAAATATTAATATCTATCCATCCATTATCTTTAACCTGCTTCTTCCATTTTGGGTCACGGGGGAATAAATTAATATATTCCTTCCAAACTGTTTCATGCTGCTGGTTGCCCAGCCTGATCATGTCCATCACATGGGCAACAAAAAGCAAACATGTTTCTGCTCATGCGAACACATGAATCTTGTTTTGCTGGTCTCTGTTCTCTCAGGTTCACCTGGTGGTTTCGAACCGTCAGCCTCTCATTGCAGGCTTTATTTTTAGCAGCTGCACCTTGCATCTTTTGTCATTTTATGTTCAATAGTCCCTCTGAAACACAAAGCCCTCTTTTGTCATTGTGTCAGAATTGACAGTGGAGAAAAACAATCTGTTGATCACAGAAGACACCTAAGGGAAGCAGGTTGTCAGATGGACGTTCAGCTTCTTTTCCACTGCCAGGAAGTTACAAACTTTCCATTTGTTATCAAGATGAAACAGCTTTACCTGAAAGCTGCCGATTATCAATGATCTGCAAAAATGAACCATTATTCACGTGGAAATCTTTAAACTTTAAATCAATTTTTTTTATTTAAAGGAATGACACACACACACACATATACATATATATATGTATATATATATATGTATATGGGTATATATCCATAAATCAACAAGTCCTTATTTATTTCACAAAGAATTCTTAGCTGTGATGCATGGTGGACACAGATTATAATACTGACTTCATGTTTTGCAAACTAAAAAATCACACAATACAAAACATTATTGATTAATATTTCATTATGTTTTTTTTACTATGTAAAACAATTAATATTTACAACACAACATAATACTGTCTAGTACCTTTCAAGTTATACCTGGTACTCATAGGGAAACAACAGGGTACTTACATGGCATGTACTTGGTACCTACATGGTAACACAGAGTACTTAAATAGCATGTCTATTAATGTATGGCAACATTACCAGACATGTTCCTGTTTTTAGTATTCTACGTTTATTTGATACTTTTCTTTTTAATTATCCTTTTAATTACCATTTTAATTTCACTTGTTAAAAAAATTGAATTTGTCCGGATCCTTTATGATTGTCTATTGCTGTCTTTGTTGTCTACTGTTGTCATCACTCTTTGTTGAAAGCAGGTTTCTCTTGTAAATGAGTCCCGGAAACTCAATGGGATTAACCTGTTTAAATAAAGGTTGAATGAAAAAACACGATGTATTCACATGGCATGTACATGCAGATCAGAACACAGTGCACTTACAAGGCATGTACTTTGTACATACATGATAACATGCACGGTACTTACATGGCATGTACCTGGCACATACATGTTACTGGTCAACAGCTTAATCTCTGACATGTACAACCAGTATATGTGAATGTACCATTTGTACAGGGTACTTAAATGGAATTTACTTGTGTCAGGATCTGTATGTATGATTTAAGCACTTTGGTAACAGCTTCTGTTTCAAATGCGCTTTATAAATAAAGTTGACTTGACTTTGTGTTTATATTTTCCGAGTCTGTCTTACCTGTGTTTCAGCTTCTCCAGTGTTTTTCCCCTCACTTAGTTTTTGCTCATGCCCCTCCCGTGCTTACCTGTTCCCCATTGTCTCTCAGGTGTTGTCATTTCTTCCTCATTAGTTTTGCTTTAAAACCTGTGGTGTTCTTCTTTTCGTTGTATGTGCATTATGCTCAGGCTGACCACGTTTGTTTCATATTCGAGTCTGTTGCGTTGGGAGCTGACTGCGGGTCGTCAGTCACTGCAGCTAGCTACTGCTAGCCGTGGGCCTTAGGCTTCCTTTCGGACCCTGGACCCGCACCCAGCCCCCACCAATTCCTCTGGCTCTATCTCCCTCAGAAGTGGCAACTCATACTAACAAATAAATCAAGGAAGCGTGAATTCAGTTTACCAATTGTATTAAAATCAAGGCAGGAAAAAGTTACAATTTACAGCACTGGACTCTCCGGTCTGTGACGCGTTCACAGACCCGGAAGAGCCCCGATGTCCCGTGTCATTACTCATTTATAGGGTCCTGGACTCCTCTTTCGCAGAACGGGAGCTCAACCTGTCAGTGTATGAGGGGGCGTGACTAAGTGTGATCTCAGT